AATATTTAATTACTATAATACTGATTCCTCGCTAGAAATAACATCAAAAGTGCAAAAAGTTAGTCAGAAATATACATTTACACACAAACTGACCACCAAACGCAACTTTCAGACAGCATCTTTATTTTTTAGCTCAACCGTCACGGAATGGAATGCACGGGATTGTGGGATATCAAAGGCAGCGAAGGATACATCTATGCTGCCTTCAAAATTCGATCAGAAGAAGGTACCTCCGGAGACAGGAAGTAAAGCAGAATTTGGATTCAGACGTGCCTTGATGCCTTCCTGCCTTGGAATGCTGCCTCCGAAGGCAGCATTTTAGAGTTTTCGGACGCAGCCTCAAATTCTCACCGCCATTCATAAAAAGTTACTGGGTCGAGTAACACGTTTCAGCGCTGATTCTACTCGCGTTTGGTGCTTTGAATCATTTGAACGCTTTTAACTGTCCTGCAAATGGCGCCGCAAGCTCGTACAGCGCTCTCAGGACCATTCCGTCCATGATGTTTTAGAAAACAATCTTTTCACAGTTTATTTAGGTAATAGCTTAAGGCCATTTGCGCGATTTCAATCATAATGCAGTAATGCAGAAATCTGTATTTATATGGAAAAATCACATCCCTGAACAATAATGCCCAGGTACACTAGGAGAGATTTGGCTAATGTCGCACCTGCCACGTGTTTGATGCGATGGATGACACTCTTCTCATCCTCAGGTGTGGTGACGGGACTGAGCGCCTCGTCCAGGTGCTGCTGCCTCATGTGCGTCAGCGGCCGTTTCCTCCGTCTCACTGTAGCTGTGCATAGGGCTTTGGACTTGGGAGACTGTTTGTGAGGTTCAGATAGCACCAGCTGTGCCTTACTCAACTCCAGCTCTATATATACACACACACACACACACACACACACACACAGACAGAAAAGAGACAGAGAAACATATTATTTTCATCTTTATTCTTTTTATCCTGTTCTATGTGTTTTAATTACATTTTGTAATTTTATTATTGGTAACATTGTAAGTAAAATATAGTAAGTAAAAATATTTAAAGTGCACCTATTAGGTCCCTTTTTAATATTGGTCTTGGGTGTCCCCAGAATGCGTCTGTGAATTCTCAGCTCAAAATACCCCACAAATCATTTATCTAACATCTGGAACATTTATTTAATTTATTAAACATCTGGAAAATGTCATTTTTGGGGCATGTCTAAAAAAGAGCTGTTTTGGAGCACTGTAAAAAAAAATGCCATTAAAAAACGGTCAAATGACTGGCAGCTACGGCTGCCAAACAAAAAACATAACATTTTAGTAAAATATCATAATTGAAACATGGAAAAATCTGTAAAATAAGGGTTTTACACTGTAAAAAAAAAAAAAACGGTCAAATGACTGGCAGCTACGGCTGCCAAACGAAAATGGTAAAATTAAAGTAAAATATCAGAATTGAAACAAGGAAAATTTTGTAAAATAACACTTTTTTCTGTAAAACCTTTAATGACAATTTCTGTAAAATTATTGTTTTTGCACTTTATTTCAATTAAGATATTTTACTGTAATTTTACGGTTTTTGTTTGGCAGCTGTAGCTGCCAGTCATTTGACCGTTTTTTTAACGATTTTTTATTACAGTGTTTTTATCACTTTAAATGCAAATGAGCTGCATATTCCCACCCTGTCTCCAGAAGAGGGCGTAGCATATACATCTCTCTGCTTAGTTTGCATACCTAAACAGCCGGTAGAAGCAACATGACTGAGGGATTAGGGATGGCACAGGAATTGCTTACGAGACATTGCTGACGTTACAGCTGCTCTAGAGCGGAGAAAATGGAGAACAACGTACAACCGCTGAGGGCGGAAACTATAGCAATGCAGGGCTGTCAATCATCCGCCGTGGACCGGCCCTATGCGATGTGATGTCATATTGCTTAGAGCAGTGTTTCCCAACCTTTTTTTAGTCGCGGCACCCTTTGGAAATTTTAACAAACTTGTGGCACCCTACAAAATTAATTTTGTCACAATATTTGAATTTCTAACATCGATATGATCATTTGAAAAGTATAGATATTCGGTACAACAGGGAAGAACTGCAGAATATAATGTCATACAGATATTTTTTATATTATTAAAAAATGTTGTCCATCGATGGTGGCAATCAGTAGGCTAATTTCTAATGAAGAGACCAATTTATATGACAGATTTTAATGTAGGCTTTTATACATATGTAAACATTATTTAATTACCATTATAACTAGCTATCTCACAA